GACGGGCATGTAAAATTAGTGTTGGAGGGTTAGAGGTAGCAAGATAGAACCTAAGGTAAAATGAATGTGAGTTGTTTAAAATGTTTTATAAAGAATAGATTTTAACTCCTGAGGCAAAATACGCAACAAGAATAATGAAAAATGAAGATTCTGACTCTAATGAGTTAGGAGGTTAATGATGATAATGATTCATTTAGCACATCTTATATCACGAGTACTAGCTTCTTTATTTGCAAGAGGGTCATAACGGTGATAATACTATAATATATTCTAGTGCATGAAATTGAGCATAACATAACATAAACATGACAAACTAATAATATTCTATGGCTATCTCATTCATTTTTAGCTTGGAAGATATTGAATCCTTGTCTTCCCCTTGAGATGCAAAGGCCGACACCACTAGGCTACATGCTTAGTGTTTATACATCATAACATTTTATTATTGTTTGATGATGCATTTTTCTTCAATTGTTTTCATTTCTACCTTTTCCAGGCTTCAAAATTAAATTTCTTCCACATCCATGTTCTGGGAAGAGTGTGGTGTCCTGGAAATTTATTAGTTCATTTACAAGACAATATCTCCAAACTCAAATTTTTCTTAAAACTTGTTTATTTCCGTAACATTTGATGGTTCACATTTCTCTTATTGTTTATAGATTGTCTCAGCTCTCGCAATTGATCATTCTGGATCGAGAGTGCTCTCTGGAAGTTATGACTACACTGTAAGAATGTATGATTTCCAAGGAATGACTTCCAAGTTACAATCATTCAGACAGTTGGAACCTTTCGAGGGACACCAGGTTCGGAGCATAAGTTGGAGTCCCACATCAGACAGATTTCTTTGTGTAACAGGTTCAGCACAAGCTAAGGTGCCTACATTTGGCTCGTATTAATCTTTGGATTGTAATTATTTTTATTTTCATCGATCAATCATCTATAAGCAGGAAATTAATTGCAGATTTATGATCGAGATGGACTTACTTTGGGTGAGTTCATTAAGGGAGATATGTATATACGTGACTTGAAGAACACCAAGGGTCATATTTCTGGCTTGACTGGTGGAGAATGGAATCCCAAATCCAAGGAAACTGTCTTAACTTCTTCTGAAGATGGTTCTTTGCGAGTATGGGATGTGAATGACTTCACAAGTCAAAAACAGGTTTGATTGGAACTTGTGTTTTTGGGTTATGAAAGTTTTGAACAGACATTTCTTCAATTTTTTTTTGGACAATTTGATTCAGTTTTAAAGTTAGT